GGTATTGAATTGACAGCCTCCTATATGCTTTCTTTATCTCTGAATCTGTAACTCCAGGTTCCAATTCAAGTATACTGAATGGGTCAAAAACTTGACTCTGTACCAGCCAATAAAGTAAGCAAGTAAGTAGACTGTTAATGCAAGTGTTACAAAATTCTCGACCACAGGCAACCATATCAAGGTAACATAACAGTCATATGAGGAGAATATTACCTCGCGGCTCATGTTCTTAGTGTAATAAATGAGGAAAATCATCACGACCCATAGTAGCACAAGCGTCAAGTTGCTCCATGTAGAGAAGTTAGAGATCTGCAGAGAGAAATGAACAAGTTGGAACATGCACTAAAGCTATAAAAAGTAGGGTATCAGTATTGAGCAAGTTGAGTGGAACCTTACCTTTTTAAATAAGGATCTTTTGTATTTCCCAGAACGGTCACACTCGAGACACTGACAGTGAATGCTCCTTTGTTTCTTGGAGACAGCTTGGCTTAGCTTGACCATAGTATAAGGCACCAACGGAATTGCCATAATCGTCAAAATGAAAATGGGAAACAATGCACTGTTCTCTTCTGACGCAGCCATCTTGGGACCCTTTGAGTGGAAGACTCCTAGATCAAGAGATTCTGCAGTCTGTTAAAAAGGAATTGAAGGGAGACAAAAACACAAATTCATGTTCTGCGATAGTATCAGGGCTGGATCTGAGAGTGTGGAAAACAGTGCGCTGTGAAATTAGGGTTGGGCGATCAAGAGGACGATACAGTTAGATCCAGACAAATCTATGTAAAAATTATGCAGTGTAACGGGAACAATTAGGTTTGTATCGATCCCTGATCGACACAAAGCTAAGAAAAGTGAGGAAACTAAAGCTTATAAACGAAACAACGGAAATGGAGCAAAGACAATTATCGGTGGTAGAGAAGATCGAAGAAGCCTAACAGAGAGAAAATCGAAGAAGTGGGCCATAGAGTAGAATCGAAGAAGCTTACCTGATGAGAACTGAAATCGGAAGGATGAGAGAGAGAGAGCGCGCGGTGCCGATCGGGGAAGGAGCAACGAACGGCGTTGCAGTTTTTGTTGATTCTCTTTTTGATTGGTGCGCTCCTCTTTACTTGCTGCTATTAACCCTTCCCAATTAAAATCCCCTTTACAATTATAATATTCGTTTTTTTGTCTTTTAAAATCAAGAGTTATTATCATG